CAGCAGAGATAAAAGATGAAGAAAAGGGAGTTCTGACACCCCGTGGGAAAGTAAATGTAAAAACTGTGACTGGTGTAGCTCAGCAGTGGACAGACAAACTACCTTAAGAGCTAGCAACAGAAGAAAAGTCTCCACACTGTAGAAGCCTCTGTCCACAAAGTCACCCATGAACAGATAATTTGTCTCCGGGACATCTCCTCCCACCTGTCATGCAGAAAAATGAAAAAGAAGCCCTTTAAACAGATGCATACTGGTAATTTAATGTGCACAAGTCTCTACCTCCCCAACTCACAATAATGGGCTCCAAGACCTGCAATGCACCAAGATTGAACCATACCACTAGGGCTGCACGATTTTGCATAAAATGAGAATCACGATTTTTTGGCTTAGAATTGAGATCACGATTCTCTCACGATTTTCTTTTCCAGTATAAATATTTATCGCGCTTATTAACTGCACATCAACTTCGTAACAGTTGAGACTGAACATAAAAACAATAAATAAACATAAAAACAACAAATGTCTCACATTTTGTCGTTGCTGCAAAATGTTGTACTGCTTGAAATTCCATCTCCACCGTTGCTCGACGCTGCGTGTATAGAGCAGGCAGTGCAACAATAGAAAAATAGTTGCGGGACGGCACTGTGTCGCGTTTGTCTAGGGTGTTGATCATTTTCCTAAATCCCTCGTTTTGCACAGAGTTGATGGGAGCCATATCTTTGGTCAGGTGATAAGTGATAGCCTCCGTAATTTCTTTGTGCCTGCGGGAGTTCGACGGGTATAGGGAAGCGCTGTATAAGGTTCCCGTTATTGATGTTTGGGTGGTTGACCAGGACGGATTTTCTCCCGTCACTTTCTCGTCATCCCTGACGTGCTCTCCGTTGTTGTTTCCCTGCTAATTTTAGCATCACACGGCACAGCTTCTGTATCACGTGGTATAAGGCTCCGCCCTTGCCATTTGTTGAGCAGGAAGAGTGAGCGCTTGTTTTCATGCAGAGTACGTCCCGGATCAAAATGCGGTACAATCGTCGTCGTTTTTTTTTGTTTTGTTTTAATCGTTGTCATTTGGAAATGAGCTCGCACATAAGTATGAATCGAGATTGCGATTTTCTAACGATTAATCGTGCAGCCCTACATACCATATCTCAAAATATTACCTCACATGAGATTAGTAAAAGAAACTAGCATCAATTCACTATTTGGACGACATTTTGGTCCAATACTGACTCAAAGCTACACTGGGTATCGATACATTGGAGCAGCAGTGTACTGCTTGCACCCACTCTCGCTCTTCATTACGTCTGCTGTAAATCTTATTGAGAAGCCTCTACTGGAGCATTTACAGCAACATAACATGATGCCAAGTTTCTCGTCAGCTTCACTGTGTGAGTGTGTGAGGAGGTGTACTCACAGGAAGAGCCATAACAGGAGAAACTAGGATGTCCATAAGTAACAGCAGTATGAAATGAGACTCATGCATATTTTAGCTGAAAAATAAAAATGTACCCCCCCCCCCCCCCAATTTTACTAATACCTTTTCACTGGATTTATATTCTTAAATATATTTATTGATGAATTTAGGAGCGCAGTGTGAAAGCTGAGCGACACGTTGCCTTAAACATAAAGAACGATACCCAGATTTTCATCAGAATTAAGAATACGAATTATTCATTTAATACAGTTATGGAATCAGTACTCAGTATGGTCACACACTCAAACTCCAGGCAAGAGTATCAAATTTAAAAAGCTGCATTTATTTCTAATAACTAACCAAGTTTAGTAGTGCTGTGCAGGATTGTAACTCAGCAACAGCAGTATCATACTTAAACGATGAAATATAACCCAATCAGAAGCAAAAGAGATTTTAAAAACAAATAGAAAAAAACTTACTCTAAAAAGTTCTTTCAAGTCATAGAACTGACCGTGTATATCTCCACAAACCTGTAAGAAATAACAGGAGAAACATTATTACCACATTTATCTGACATCCAGGCAAATTCGGAGACAACAGTGAGTAGATGTTACTTACCGTAACAGGAGAATCTACTCTCTGGACATTGCTTTCTTCAACCAAAATCTCTCTAAAGAAATAAAAATACATATGTGTATTTATTAATAAACAAATAACGCACAACAGCACAAGACTAACAGCAGACATAAAACAATCCTTGAGTTACAGACAAGCACCCCCTAGTGGCCACATCTACCGTTTCCTGTTGTGACTCCAGAAACACAGCTGACAGGTGATGTAACTGCAACTTGAAAAATATCCAAACTAAACAGATCGACTTTTTGAAGCCCAGTGACAGATGGGGTGGGGGGGCACCTTCACTCCTCCACCAACCACAATAATCATTTCAAATTAAGATCAGATTGCTTAAATTGTTTCTCCATCATCCTTATCTGAGTTACTTGATTATTTAATAATATCCAGGAGCAGCTGATTGGCTAACAAAGGTCAGTCAGGATAAGGCTCCATTTAATGAGTCTGTATGGCAGTTTGCATCCGGTAGACTTATCCCAGTTCTTCCTAGTTCACAATAGGCCTGTGATTGGTCTTGCGCCTTATCCTATAATGATCGTAGCATACCTTTGCGTATATTTTTTTTTTCCTGGACTCCTCCAAGATCTTCAATCTTGATTAAATTTAGTCTATTCCTGTTATATATCGTTAATAGATAAATATATTTTCTTTAAAATTCTCAGCTGTAACTGGTCAGCGTCTGATGCAGGTCTGGCTAGTCTAGTTAATCAATTTTTGGCATCTGTAAAACTGTGCCAAATCAAACATGCGGAGCTCACCCATGTAGTGACCCCTTTGTCGAAACAGCCATTGGTCTGCATATAGTTAAGACAAAGAGGCTGCCCCATTACTTTTGAACATTACATATAAATATATTTAAGCTCTACTAAATATCACCCCTCTTAAAGTACGTTTAATTCGCAATCCTTCCCGTTCTTTAAGTATTCAGAAATAAGACAACAGCTAAACAGTTTTCTGCCTTGAATCGAGAGTGTATAATTGATTAAATAAAAGTGCTGTTGGTCCAAGCACACTGATGCTTACCTAGCTTTGGCACACAGTGCTTTGACTTCATTTTCCTTGATGAGCTCACAGCGTCTGAGCTGCTCTATCTGTCGGTCCAGGTCACTGATGTCCCCCATTGTCACACACATAGGGAGAGCTGCTCACACACCAGGCACACACTCCTCTTCTCGCACACTGGGCTCGCTTAAATATGTGGCTCCAAGAGCGAACAGCCCAAACAAAAACTTCCTCGAAAGCAGCCGGGGGGCTTCAGCTCTTAAACGTCAGGGTATTGCTACGACGATGCTCGGAGTGACGAACTGCAGACAAAAAACATAAATTAGGTTATTCAACCGAAGTAATTCCGAGCTAAACATCGCAATAACAACCTGGTAGGCGGATAATCCAGTTTAGGTAATGTCTGCTGTATGATAAATAAGACCCGGTCGTACATAGAAATCCCTAACTAAACGCCAATTTAACACACCACTGTGAAAGTCATACGACTAGTTTGTTCACACCTAACATAAAAGTAGTCTCCCACAGAAAACTGATGTTATTCGTTAGGGAATGTAAGGCCTCGGGGCGTAGCAGTAAGCTAATATTAGCACGCTAGCTTACATCACAGCTAACGACGTCAGCGAACAACTGATTCTTTGATAACTTAGCCAACCATTTTGTTTGGGAATTTGAACAGATGCTTCACAAAAATGTCTGACAGTCGATACCAACAAACTACAGATAATCTATGTGCCAGAAAAAAACAAAATAAAAGCAATGTGTTAAGCGTAGTTGAAATGTTGCATGTTAGCGGGCTAATCGATGCCGACCTGGGCTAACTTACTTGGTTTTCGGCGTCAACGCTGGTTACTGCTAATGTCGCCAGTAAACTAGCTAACGCGAATAACACTATTTAAAAACGGCTCAACTCGAATAACCAAAAACAGCGAGCAAACGAAAAGAACCAACGTTAATATATTTCAGTCCATGGAGCGTCGGCTCACTCACTGGCCCCTCTTCTTCCCCCGGTCTCGTCTTTGCCGGTTTACGCCTGCCGTGCTCGTGAACACTTGCAGGTCGGCTGTAACTTCCGGTATAGGAAGCGCACTACTCAGTCTACTCAACCCGACATTCACTGTAGTGGTAATTTACAGATCGCTTACTAGTCCATCCCAAATACTGAATATCATGAAAAGTTTATTTTTGTTTTCTTTTTTTAAGTGATTAATTTAAAAAAATAAACTCGATATTTATTGTATGAAAAGTATTTCAAAACCCTTTCTTACAATTTTGATCAAGTTTAAGGACACTGAATAAAGTCAGAAATACAGTATTTAATTTTGAGCCTCCCTATGGCCCCACAATAAGCAAGCAGGTTCAGGGTGGACTGAGCCGAGGTCAAAGGCAGGCCTCGGCTGTCCGATCCCCTCTTGCTGCTGTCTGAAACTGGAAAAGAGATATTCTAATATTTTGATTCAGGATTTCTGATTACCACCAGCTATAAACCATTATCATTAAAATCAAGAAAATATTGAACTACTGAAATATTTGACTTGTAACGAAGGTAGAATATACCCTTTTAATTTAATTATAAAGAATTAAAGTTTTTGTGTCATGTTCTGTGCTCCACTATGAAATGTAATGTAGTTCAAGTAGAAGTTTAACAAGAAAAATGTGTGTTATGGAACAGTAACCTATATTTATACATTTTAATTCATTTTGGCTTAGAAACATCACCTATAGCTTTGGGATACCACAGTATAAATTCTCCACTCTACAAGCATTTGTCTGATATATTAGGCACAAAGTGGACAGCAGAGAAAATACTGCAGATTGCTGACTATAGCAACCTTACTTTTTTCCCTAAATAATTTTGAATTAAATATTAGGTTAATAAATGGTTCACGAAACACCCCAGTTAAAGACCAACCTATGTTATCTTACATCACTATAAGTAATAAAGCACGACACATTCCAGTTTATGACACATACACTTTATATCAAAGAAAAAAATCGGTACAATTAGAAATGTCACGGCTCTCTGCGCAAGAAAGGACAACCACATGTTTGTAGCTAACTGGCAAGCTAACAAAGTCAAAGTGAACCTCATCTCTGATTTCCTGTAAAATTTGATTTGAAGCAAGCAGAAGATTAAAAAACAATATTATGTTGTAACAAGGTTCTTCCAGTTAAGCATTAGCATTAGCTTTATGTGGTCATTAGAATGTCAGTAGGACCGTTGGTCTGCGTTTGAGTGTTCAGGAGAAAACAGGACACATGAATCAAGTATTTAAGGACATAAACTGCATTCCAAGAAAAGAAAACAAATTCAACAGCCCACAATGTTACAAAAAAATAACAAAAGTGCTTCCAAGAATTTTAGTAAAATACATGTCAGCATGACGGCATGAGCAACCTCTATTTTCTTTATTTTACAACAAAAATATTAAAATCAACTTTGTTTCACATCTCAGCCATTCCCAGGTGTTCTGTGCTCCACCTGCAGTGACTAACTGTGCCACAGTTTAACAAGCAGTCTTTCATTAGAATCAGACAAGCCACAGCTAAGCAAAATGATGTCAAGTTGCACACGATAAACATCACAAAAACAAATCTGTGTGTGACATTGTTTTTGTACAAATCTGAAACAAGTGGCATTTTAAAGCTCCGAATGATCTCCTGGTATTAAAAACTATAATAGAAGGCATTTTTGCTCGCTTTGTTACATACACTCACATTTTTGCTCGCTTTGTTACATACACTCATCATGGACATGAATGTCATGGTAATTTTGGACTTTAATCATTTCTTTGAATTGTTTTCTTCCCAGAGAGGAATGATTTTATAGCATCTGCAAAAACAAAAGACTTTGAAAATGAGAATTGGATGCACATGGTTGAAGTTAATTTGGAAAAATTTCCACCTCAATCAGGCATGATTCTGACGTTATATTTGACCATTATTCTTCTCTTGGTTTCCTGGTACCAACCTGGATTTTAAGCATAGTCCACAATCTTTCAGTAAGATTGAAGTCACCTATAGTCATGTCAAAAAAATAATGAAAATCCCAAATTTCAGATTCATTTCTACGATGAGTGTTTGCAAACGTTTGACTACAACTGAAATACGAAAGTAATCTCTGCTATTTATTAACATGAATTAAACTCTTAACTATAGAACTACTTATTATAGAAGGCACTTAGTGAGAGCCGTCAGGCTTCAGCATTATATTTACTCACAGTTTCTTCAAATAATAATAATAATGTATACTTTATTGATCACCGTGGGAAAATTCCTCTCATTTAACCCATTCACTCAGTGAAGCAGTGGGCAGCCACCAATCTAGTGCCCAGGGAGCAGTACCTTGCTCAGGGTAGCTGTTCAGTAGATTCAAACCCCCAACCTTCCGATCATGGGGCAACCACTCTACCTACTGAGCTTTATTTGCCCCCTGAAAGCAATAGTTTTATAATTTCACCTCCCAAAAATTTAATTGCAGCATTCAATGACTGAGCTCTCTGACTTTTAAAATAGTTTGAAAATAGTAATGGCACATCCTAGCTGAGTAGTCATTCATAGAACTGTTTCTGAACCCAGAGTTCAGTTTGAGGAGTTAATGTTAAAATGAAGGTCAGTAAAATAACAGTTTAGATTTTAAGGTAAATCTTAGCGTTGAAGGTTGGTGTGGAGGGATTTCCTACACGATACTAGCTGCCTGGTCACAGCTCAGAGATACTTTATACTTAAAGAGGACTCTTTAGTTACCACAATTAAAACACAGTAAACTTGCTGAAATGACATCTCCTCTTCTGTGACTTTAAAATGTATTGCATTTATATATTTTTTATTCATTATGTCAAATTGAAATATATCCCGATCTTGTTTCACATTGAAAGCTTTTGTTCTGTGAACCATTGGAAGGTTTTTCATGAAGGAAAACCACAAAGAAACTGGTCATCAAAACAAGACAATATTTTGATCTGTGTTTCAGGTTTACCTTCTGTGATCGTAGGTAGGATGTTATTGATATTATTTGATCTCTGGCTGAAGGTAAAAAACACTTTTGTGGACTCTGGACTTTCTATATAGTTCACTTGCTGTTATCTATAAATATGCAGCAAGTACAGGATGTGGAGTCAAAGACTTTATATTGACATTTTTATGTAATGTCTGCTTTTTGTCTCTAACCCAGTTCGGATTTAAAAATCGAACGCACCCACGTTTTGCTTACTCATCGTGCTGGTCAGTGTGTGGGCTTGGTTATAATGAACAGAAGTAAGTGTGGACAGGAAGAGATATGAGTCCAGCCACAGTTATGCCCAGGCTGTCTCCAATGCTGGCAGCAGCCATGGAGAACTCCCTGTGTCTGTCTTCAGTCTGTAGGAGAAAAGAGAAGACACTCTGAGGTAGATGCATGCTTACTGTGGAGTAAAAACAGCTCAACAGTGCACAGCTGCTTCTGTACTGATCTCCTAAAATAATCATTGTGACATTTGCAGAGTGTGTATGTATCCGTGAATGGATAAAAAATGAAATGCAGCTTTGCACAGAGGTCGAAGAACAGAAAATATGGAATTATCCAGATTCCTAAAGTCAGAACTGTCTAGAATACTCCAGAGTCTAAACTATATGAATGGTTCTCTGAAGCTGTCCTTTACCTCCTTGCTGATGAAGTGGAAGGTGTTGACATATGCTGCTCCACCCAGCAGACCCTCATAGAGGATAAAAGTGAACACCAACCAAACAGTGGGCAGGAACAGGTAACGTACAGCAAACAGAAGAAACACAGCGTTCAGCGTCTGTGGAGAGGAGAGAGAAGCAGCTCTGAGAAACACAGCAGTGTCTGTAAAGTATACATTCACACACATTTAACAACCCCATATGCATGTACTATAGTTATCTGCATCACAAAGCAACACAAATTATTCAGTCACCTGAAAACAAACCATAAACTATGCAATGTATGATGGAAAATAATCATTTATTCAGCTCTCCTATTATTTCAGCCTGAGTGTCACTTTGTCCTAAACAGTTGTTGAGACACTCTGCAAAGCCACACCTCTCCTGGCTTCTTTCTTTTTCTACAGTCAGATTTTCTCCAAATTTCTTGCCTTAGAGGTGCAGGCTTCTCTCTTATACAACATCATCAGCACTTTCTCTGTTTCACCTGGAAATTTACACAGGGTCACTGTGTAAATAGTATGAACGTTTCCTTGTAAATATTACTAGATGAGGATCATTGTGTGGTCGTAATTTTTTGAGGACAGCTGCTGCGCCGTTTTGTTATTGGCTGCTCCTAACACTTCTATGCACTAATGCAGCTTCACCTACTGCCTAATGGACCAATTATGGATTTGTGCACAACATTTTATATGCACTACGTACACACAAGCAGCAAAAAATACTGATGTTCAAATCTATTGTTTGTAATGAGTAGCCAGTCAGAATAAAGTTGCAGGTTAAGCTCCTCTACCAAAAAAAGGGAGCCTAGCTTAACCCAGACATCCTTCTGGTGCTGATTTGTATTTTATTCTCATTTCTCACCTGCAGAACACTGAGAATCCACACTTTCCTGATCTTCACACAGTGCAGAGAGGATCGAGAGAGCAGTACACCAAGCTGGTACAGAGTCTGATACCTGAGGATGCAAACAAGAAACAAGTATAGCTGCACACCCCAAACAATCTGCATGAAGTCATTCATACTGAATATTCTCTGTAATGGATCACTGACCAGCGATACTGAGCTGCATGGGTCAGGAAAATATTGTGGAAGAACAGGAGTTCCATCTTACAGAGAGGGAAAAAATATTCCTGGTTCAATATTCTCACAACATCACACAAAATCAGAGCCAAGTTTCACTAACAGCATGCAGTGAGCTGAGTGTGCTGCTAGAGGGCATCAGAGGACTCACCAAACCCTGGTTGATGAAATACTCGGTTAAGTAGACCACTCCCAGTGGAAGCACAAACCTCCACAAGCCCTGCTCACAGAAATCAAGTTCAGTAACAGTTTGGCTGAACAGTTTCAGATCAAACAAGTAAACGGTGTACTTACTCTGATAACAAACAGTCTCTCTCTGAAACTGAGAGGCCCAGTGGGTTGGTCCTCTGCTACATTCAAGAGGAAGAGAACATTATTTCCCAATAAGCAGCAGAACTTTAAAACGACAATTCATTCACATAAACTGTGAAGTTCCACAGCAGGAGATGAAGTCAGCAGCCTCATGTTCTCTGTCTTTGTTAAGTGTTAACAAACAGTTTGCAAAAAGAAAGCTGTGATAACGTGGTCAGAAATTACAAATCATTGAAACATTTCATTTCTGGGTACTAAATGATACGTATACACATAGCAGCCTCTCACTGAGGCCACTGTAAGGTAACATATACAAACTGTTGAGCAGCAATAGGAAGCAACTGCCAATACACTGAGTATCAGTATCAGTCACATGAGTAAGAACAGAGAGGAACATGTGATCCGTTTAGCTTAGCACGCAAATTTGTGTTCCAAAGGGTGGTCAGAAACTGAGACAGCTACTGCAGAGCCTGTGAGCGCTCGTATTTTACTCCGGCTACAATTTGGCCTTCTGGCACAGACGTACCGGAGCATTCAGGCCCTCACTGCCAGACCGCGAAAGTTTCTTCCCCCAAACGTCAGACTACTGACCACTCAGTGACTGGACTGACACACACACTTATCTGCACAATCTCATATACACAAACATGCACAACCAACTGTCATTGATGCACATTTCTGTTGCACTGTTGTGTCTGTATCGTTCTGTTCTGTCTGGTGCTGCAATGTTTTTTGCAGTTTTTGCACACTTGCACTGTATGTATGTATGTTGAAGCACCTTGAGGTGACTTTTGTTGTGATTATATAAAGCGCCAAATCAATTCAATTCAAATAAATAAAATTGAATTGAATTAAAATATGTAGTCCTGTGTTGATTGTCTTTTATATGTCATGTCATATATGTCATTGACCATGATACTGGAGGGACGCTGTCTCGCTTCACTGTGTACTATAGCACTGAACATGGTTGAAATAACAATAAAGCCATTTGACTTGACCTCAGGTTTTCCTGTAACCATTTCAAATTAAAAGCACTTTGGTGCTTCACTGGATAGAAACACTTAATTTCTTAACTGGGCTCTTATTCTGAAATATTATGAAAACAAACGTTTTTTATTTACTTGTTAAGAACCACCATACAGTAAGTGAGGAAGAGAGGAACATGCATAGTTTAAATGGAGGCAGTGAGAGTCAGGATGAAGCTGTGCACAGACGACTTTCTGCAAGTGAAACTAATGTTTGATGCCACTGCAGATGTGTCATTTGATATATGCAAAAACTCAGGTAACCTGCCTGCACATGTGCGCTACACCTCTGCCAATGCAGTCACACTGTGGCTGTATCCCAATTCAGGGTCTGCAGCCTTAAAGGCCGCTTTTAAGGCCGATTACGTCACAGTGACGCGACGAAGGCTGTACCAATTCAAAGGCTGCTCGGTTTTAAAGCCTTTACTTTAAAATATACGCCGTTCAATAGCTGACCTTAATCCTACAGAGAATGTGATGATTTTATGGATATTTAACCTCCTAAGACCCGAACTTTTCCATGACATGCATTTTTAATTTCTCTTTGATATTTGGGCGTATTGAGGCCCGATGAATGAAAAACAAAGAATTACCAGATTTTTTTTTATCTTATTTTTGTTTTTAAGAAAAATAAGAGCTACATATGAGGATATTTGTTTAAAATTTTGATAGAACAGTAGCAGGATAATGTCCTCGTAAGTGGATATCAGGCCCTTGTAGAGCAAAATTGAGTATTTTGGTCTAAATAACCCAAAATGTGATGTCCACATATGTGGACGCCAGGTCCTAGGAGGTTAAAGTAAACACTGAGACAAATTGAGTAATACCAACATATTAAAACAACAATATTTGTCTCTTATATATAACACAGTTATATATACAGTGTCAAAGAAACCTGTCTTTGAGTGAAGATTTAAGGTGACAGCAAATACAAATAAATGCAGCTTGAATCTTTACTGAAGCTCAGTATTTGAAACAGAATTCTTTCACTGCTTTAATAACTAATAATGATTGAAATAATGACTTTAATATTGTCCATATTATATTTACATTACCAAAGTAAGATGACTTTAGTCTCATGAACAACATTAGCTAATTGTTATTTACGAGCTAATCTTAAAATGACTGTTCAGTACAGAAGTGAAGCCCAATAATCATGATTTCACAGTCCTGTGGTCTCAGCCTCAGATACTCATCAAATCAAAGCTCATGTACAAACAAACAAACAAACAAACAAACAAACAAACAAACAAACAAACAAACAAACAAACAAACAAACAAACAAACAAACAAACAAACAAAAGATTTTCTCCTTCATTTCTGTCAAATAATGCTGTATGAAACGTTTCCAGCTGTTAGTGTCATGGTTGCTAGGCAACCTGGGCAGTGCCACGGAGACTAGACCGTCCCATTTCACAAGCCTCGCACTTCCGGCCTTAGTCTTCCTTGAGTACGCGGCCCTTGTGGACCGTTAAGGCTGCAGACCCTGAATTGGGATACAGCCTTTGTGTAGGTCAAATGCTGATTGGTTAAAAAGGAAACAGCATGTTCACCTTGAAGACAGAGGCATTAAGAAAAATCAAAGACCAAAAAGTACACGAGAAAAACATGAACAATACTGCAGCAGACAGTTTTGAGGAAGTTTCACTTCCCCACTTCACCAGAGTCTCTTATGACTCTTCTGTGAAACAGAGGCTGAGCTAAAGAACCAACTGAAGGCCAAACATAATCCACCGTAGCCCACATTATTGGCTCTTTCGAGACACTTCACTTAGTGACAATAGGCAGCCACAACACATACCTGCCAAACTCATAGCTCCTATGGACTACCAGCACACATTCAAAAAAGGAAGAGAACTTTTAAGAAGTCTGTTGTTTATACTTTAAACAATAAAAATATAAAATTAGCCCCGTTTTGCAATTTTAAAATTTGGGCTATAAACCTGCTGACTGACAGATTAATAACATTACTTCTACCTTCTTAGCTGAGGTAAATATAAACTACTGTTGTGCTTTAAATACCTTTTCACTGTTTTCCATCTGAGCGACTCACATCTTCCCCTAAGTCATGACCTCCTTTTATCAATTTCAATAAAGATGTAGAATAGTGCGTTTCCTCTCACCATGTCAAACAGAAACTGACACGTGTTGATGACCATCTGATTAGATAACAGCAAAGCAACGCTCTGGGATCTTTCAGGCGTGTCTATTGGGCAACAGTGTAAAGTCATCATTGTAAGAAAACGTGAGTCTCTGTGGACAAACTTCAAATGTAAATGATTTTATATCTTCATCATATTTGTTGCATCTGCCTTTTTGTGCAAATTATTGCTTAAAATGTTAAAATTCATGTATTCTGATGGAAAAACAAAACTGGTGTCATGGAGGACTCAAACACTTACAGGAACTCATGTGTTCGTGTTCAGTTAGTAGATATATCAAACAATGAAACAGAGTTGGTCTTTACAGGATTTGGTTGCTGAACTTTATTTAAATTTCAGTTTATTACTGATTTCATGCTACACCCTTCTAATGTGACATTTACCTGTGGTGGAGCTCTCAGGCTCCTCCTCGTCTGAACTGTCCAGAAGTTGCTGTCTGTCCTCAGAGACCAAAGCTGCATACTCAGTGTCCTTGGTCCTCCACTGAGGTAATGAAGGTGGACAAACCAGCAGGAGGAAATAGCTGGTAAAATTGTTGGGATGAAGAAGACGACAAATCATTTTGTAAGTTTCAGCTTCATTTATACGCAGTTTACAGGGAAAAAGTCTCAACAGGAAATACAAACTACATCCTGTCAATGTCTCATTTGACTGAAGTGAACTGGAGTCAACTGAACTCAATTAAAGTGACTATTTGGCCACCACTTCACCTCCACAGATGAAAGCATTGGGCTACCTACACCTTAGACCTACAGAAGCTTAATTCAAAATTGGACCCTTGTTAAGTCTCTGTTACGACCCAGCTCAAAAGCCGCAACATAAAAAAGGAGATGAATACCAGATTGTGGGTGAGAAGAGGTTTTAATCCTAAAATGCATAGCAGGTCGGCTAAAATGGCTGGCTAAAAAGCCTGCCTCAGATATGCCTTTATCAGCACCTGACTAGGTGAACACACTGAGGAGATTAGGGGCTGCAGAGGGACATAACACCTCCTCCCTCAAAAGGGTTCCTCTAGGACCCCTACATTTATTAAAAGCCCCCCTGAAGCCTTCAGGTCCTTGAACCACAAACCTGAAATAAAAGTAAAAGCTAACAGAAGCACAGTGTTCACATTATAGTAGGCATCTTTAAGCATGGATGCCCCTGCATGAGGATTTGAAGTTGCCACACTGAACACACAGGAAGTAACATGTGACCAACACAAAGGAGCACGACAGTCACAAACTCAAAATGATTACTTGACCTGCTACAACACAAAACCAAAAGTAGCAACAAATACCCACAATCAAGTGATCTGTTGTTTCCACCACACAAATGGTCACATTCAAATGGCCTTATACCACAAGTTACTTTAACCCTTTAAGACCTACCATAGAACCAAGTCCGCCAGAGCTTATATTATATTTTTACATGCTGTGGAGCCATTTTTGGGAGCATTTCAAGTTGCTATACATCAATACAACCATTATAGCCCAGATTTTAATAATATGTATTCATTAAGTGCATAGTAATTACATAAATTGCAAAAAAGTGCAATAAACTACAAAAAAATTGAAAATCGTTTTTGCTTTTTTAACATATATTTGTAGTTAGAGAAATTTAAGAGGCTTATCCCTCAAAACTGTAAATACAAAAAAGTTGCACAAAATAGTTTCCTACCACAGGAAATTTATTTTGAGTGTCTTCATAGTTTTATTTTTGAAATACACCAATTTTTATATACTGCAGGAAAAACGAAAATAAATATTATACTGCAAATTTGCAAAATAACAGCATATGCATCAAAATAAACTATTTCCAGCAGTGCAATATGAGTCCTCAGCATCCCAGAAACGACACAGAAAGTCATAAAGTCAAAGATAACTTTTAAAAAGACCAGTATATGCCCTGAGGCCCTGATGGTAAAAAAGACTACATTTCCGCGAAAATGAAGTCACTTCCGGTTTCGGGCCGGTAATGGCGGAAATGCAAAAGTTCGCGCTGACGTCTATTCCAACTAGGAAGTATTATGAACAGCTGATCGGATCGGCAAAGCGTGTTTCTGGAATATCATGTTTTTGTTCCTGCAAGCGCTTTTTATGCAGTTTTTGCAAAGCTTTATGTGGAAGGAAACCGTGACCTAGGACAATCTGATGGCATAAGATGTAAGTACAACTCCTCCGATTTCATATGCAAAAAAAAAAATTTGCGCTAGCTTACGTGGTTGCAGAGCTACTGGGATTTAAAAATAGTTACGCAAAACAGAGCGTGTCCGCTCCGATCGGCTCTAAAGGGTTAATCCACAAGGTTCAGTAAAGAAAGCATACTAGTGACCAACCACAAAATGGAGAGCTATGGCCACACAATGATCACATCAAGGATGGCTCAGCACCCCTCAGTGTTATTGCCATCACCTGGCCAACAACACTCACAAGTGATCCAGTAGCCATATTTCCCACAGCACTAAAGGTCACAGCACAAAACACTCACCTCGTGAGGATGTCATTAGCATCCATCACCACTGACATATTAGATGCACACACGGTGTACATGCTATGACAACTTAAAAACAGCCTACCTGCCTAAGCCACAAGACCATAGTTAAAGAATGTCTTAATCCCCTGCCAAGTTTGGTGCCACTGATTCACTTTAAGCAACTCCCATCCAAAAATGCTAAAAACAAAATAAGATAATATGTCCACAAATAACAAAGCACAAACTAACTATCTGAGTGAGCGATGAGTCACAACACAAAAATACAGAGAATCCTTGTCCCTGCACACTTACCTTACCACCATAGTGAATGGGACGACCAGCATGATAAGCAGTGTAACCCGTGGTGAAAGGCCAGCTTGGATGAGGACTGAGTAAAGGAGGGCTCCAATAAGACCAGCAGCACCAGTGCCTGAGCCCCAGCCTTCCAGTACACTCCTGGAGCAGACAGAAAACCACCGTTAATGTTCCAGAGTAAAAATAAAAACACGGTTGGAAGACCATTCACAGCTTCTTAAACTCATTTCTGACCGGGACTTTATCTGCTGTGAGTCTAAGCTGTAAGCAGGATTACTGTTAGAAGGAAACTTGGAGTTACTGTGAAAAAGCTCTGTCATCATGGAAACTGACATTTAAAGTCAAGCACCCAAACTACGTAACTCAGTGGAAAATGTCTGATATCAAGAATATCAGATTGATAACTCCTTCATAACTTTTCTTTTTGCAAACCTGTAGCAGTCCATCTGTTCTCTGCTAGGCATCAGCACAGCTGGTCACTGATGCCAGCTGATTTATGCTGCTGATGTCTTTTGAAGAAGGAATTATCTTACAGAGGCAATCAGTGGGCCCCAGGGCAGCTGTGGCTACAATGCAGCTTGCCATCACCAGTGTGTGAATGTGTGTGTGAATGGGCAGATGACTGAATGTAGTGTGAAGCGCTTTGGGGTCCATCAGGACTAAGTAAAGCGCTACGCAAATACAGGCCATTTACCATTTTTACCAAGATCATATAACTCTGTGGTGCAGACTGTCCAAGAAGTCTGGGAATTCTGGTGGTGTTTTTTATTAGTGTGTAACTTATTAATGAGCAGGTGTGTCTGTGTGCACAGCTCATGGAGACAGCACTCCAACCTCTGCTTGAGTCTGGCTCCATAAAACACTATGACGCTCCAGAAACAAATGGGTGGCATCAGGGAGAAAATGATGAATGGAAATTTGTGTAAAATGTATGAAAAATAAACTCACTTTGCTTTTCTTGTTATCATCTGTATTTTATTTCAGTTTTTAGTTAGAACTGTCAACAATCCCAACCCCTCTAAACTTTTGTTTTTATAAAACAACCAAAGCTCCTTACTCTCAACTTACATTTAAACTACTGTAAAATTACTTTCTGCAAACCTCCATTAATACTGCACACTTGGTATTGTTCATTTAATTCTGACACATAGAATTAGTTTTGTTTTGTTTGTTTTTTTCAATTTTTCTTTTTCCATAGCAGTTAATTCACTTGGACTTTGTTATATCAACTTAATGAATTATTATTTTATTTATAATTTTTTATCTTTTCACAATTTTTACTAAGCAAGTGTAACAAAAAGTAATTTCCATTGAATGATTCTGGTTTCAAGCTATTCTTACTTCAGTCCTGGCAGAAACGGGATTCCACATAGCAAATAAAATACAAATAAAATTTTGTCTTTATGCAGGAATTCAAAGAATTCGACTGTGTAAACTCTGCCTTGTTCACAAACTTTACCCTACACTTTGGGCATCAACCCAAGTTCTGTCATCTGGACAAGCTCTGTTTGAATCTTTAATAAGAGAGCAGCAACTGAATTCAAAATTGGCAAAAAGAATGAGTGAAGAGTGTTTACCTGCTGAAATATACTGTTAGAGAGAGGAAGGACAACTCTCCCAGTCCTGAGCTGATACTGGCAAAGATCACTCCTGCAAACACAGCCACAGAGAACGTGATCAGAGAGAGCAAAGAGGAAGAATTTATTCTTTTGTTTGAAGAACAAACTTCAATAAAAAGAGCTCATTTACAGGACCTTTGTGGGCAGTCACAATGGTTGCATTTTAGTTACTGGTGAACTGAATCGAATTTAGTTGCTCTTTACTGACTTATTTTATTCACATAGAGGTCTGCTTGATTCTAACAGTAATGTCTGAAATAGTGTTGTCTATTAAAAAAAAGAAACAATTTCCATCCACTGCTAATGGTATTTTGCTGCACAAGCCCTTTAGAGCCTATCAGGACATTTCTAGCAAGCAGGGGCCATCTTTGCATCTGGTATCCAGTTCTACCAGTAGATCTGTGGTGCCAGTATCACTACTGCTTTCAAGGTGGCAGCATTTAGTTTGGGGCTGGTACGTTTGGTGTCTGGAGGAGTGTATTTGATAGAAGCGTGAACTGGTACGATAAATGATTATTTATAGCAGCAGTAAAGCTCTATCAAGCTTCTGTGGAACAACCACAGATGCTCACAGTAGATAAGAAGAAATTAAACCGAAGAAAATAACTAATAAGTTTTATCTAATCCACCTTCTAAAAGCTCATCAGAGCCATATCAGACACCCTTAATGATAAAAGATCTGATCTGAATTATTAACAGGTTGCTTTACCGAGAATACTCATCCACACAGCTGAGGAGAAGGACACCAGGAGGAAACTCGTTGCTGCCATGATGGCACAGAACAACACTCGAATGCTGGGATAAAAGAACAGGAATTAACCAGGAAAGCTGGAAAGCACCATGACAGCGATGTTTTTATGCAGACAGCAAGAAGAACTCAGTCTGTTAACAACTGACTTCCTGACTATATCACACACAAAACATATAAAGTCCAATTTTTCTTTTCTTTTTCAGCTCTGATTAGTCAGCCGGGGCCACTGAAACCAGGCACAGCCATTAACCAAGTAGGTTTGTTTATTGCTCCAATTTCATATGTTTGGTCACTGCTAAGCTCTCATTCATAAATTTAACATCTTATATACATGAAAACATTAAAGCCAGACGAAAACAAATGGAGATCATTATTGCCAAAAGACATCACAGCAGCTCAGCAGCACAAAAAGAGCGCCAAAGGTGGGATTGAGTGGAAATAATATGCAAATAAAACAAAGTTCTTGTTGTTTTCTTCTTCTGTCTCTTTTTTTAAACCAAACTCAAACCTCATGTTGCCAGTGGGGCTAAAATCCTGACACCTGATACAAACACACTACTGTAAAAAAGGGAGGACGTCACAGTTTTTGTCATTTGCAAGTTTGTCAAAGAAACAACTATTTGTTTATTATCAGTGCAGTGAAATCAGATCGTACCAATAATGTGAGTGATGATTGTTAGTTCCTGTAAAAGCACAGCAAGTGGAAACAAAGAACAGCAATCAAAGTAATAATTACCCATAAGGCATTTTGTGGATCACAAAGGGAGCGAACAGTTTGATGAAGAGTGTTGGTAGGATGTCAGCTAACAGCACAGCCTGCCAAGAAAAATGTAACAACTGAACATCTGTGGACACAAATGATACAGCTTGTAGTTTCTGCCACACCATCCATCCTTATGCCCTCCTTCACTACCATCCATCAATCTCCTCTGAGGTCTTCCTCTTGTCCTCCTGCCTGGCTGCTCCATATCTAACATCTTTTGTCCTGCATTTTCAGTTTCTGTCCTCTGTACACGTTCAAACGCTCTGATATACTAATTTCTAATCATGCCCATCCTGGTCACTCCTAATGAAAAGCTTCAGCTCTACCTTTTGCCAGTGCCCACTGTTATCACACCATACATCATCACAGCTTTTACTACATTCCTAATTCCTCCTCTAATTCTTCTGTCACAAACCACCCTTTACAATCGTCTCCACTCCTCTCTGTTGTGCACTGCACATTACTTTGGATGACTGATTACAGGTATTTAAACTTATCTACCTTCTCCATTTCTACTGCTTGCATGTTCACCTTCTCTCTCTCTCTGACTGATGTTCAGTCCTCATCTCTCCCACGCTTACCTCCACCTGTCCACACTCTGTTCCACCTGCTCTCACTACATATCATAACGTCATCTGCAAACATCATCGTCCACAGAGACTCCTGCATGAACATCACAATCACAATCAAAAGGGGCTCACAGTAAAGAGTGCGGATGCCACCCCCAGCTTAAACCCATCCGTCACTCCTACCACACACCTCACCACTGCTGCCTCATACATCTGTCAATAGTTTTAATGAAGCTGGGAAACAACCAGAAATAAAACTCAGCTTTTATTTTGGGGTGTTAGGAGAAAACTCTGTAAAAAACCCAGGAGAAATAAAGACACAATGAGACAAAGTTACTTTCTTTGCTAAACGTGTACACGGGTGAGCTGCTGAGAACAACTCACACCATGCACAGTGGCTTGGCATTTTTTATAGGCACAGAGCACAGAGACAGTGAGAACAGGATAAGAAAATAATAAACAGATAAAATAAACAACTCCATATGTGGTACTAGTCTCGTCAGCAGAGAGCTGGGAGAGAGCTGTGAGAGATAAAACAATCTAAAACAATATGTCCCAAAACAATATGTCTTTGCTGGGAAAGTCTAAAAGGATAATTCTAAACTAATCTAACCATAGACAAAGGGCATCTTTGTACATTTAAAAGAAGGTAAAGAAACATAGAATCATTTTTCCTGTAACATTGGGTTTTGTGGATTAAACTGAGAACACATGTTAGACCTTTTTCTTTTCCACACTTTCAAATGTACCAACAAACAGAACGCATTATTTATGTGGAGCGTGCTACTACAGTGATGGTGTTTGGCTGGTCCACCATAATGTAATGGCCATGACAACTAAATTATATAATACATAAATGTATGTGCTCAGTAATGTCTCTATAATGATAATAACATTTTATGAGTTTTTCATAACCTCCAGGAACCTGAAATATTTATGATCTGCTAAATACTGTTGACTACAAACATGAACATGTTTCCTAACTTACTATCTAAGATACAATCTACAGTATATCTGTTATTATACCAGATATTGGACTGTATTTATTGATTGAATATACTTCTGTTAATATGTACACATTAGCCTTATTAGTGTAGGAAGCTTTCCTGCTGTTATCCTTCTTTGGTTAAGTGTTATACTAGTTTCAGTACCTCATCAATCATGTGACGTTTGTCTTTTTTTAAATAAACATTTAAAAGGAAGTCACCGCTTCTAAACGAGAGCACAAACTGTGAACCAGTCAAAAGTTTATAACATTTGTCTCGACACTAAACACCCAGAACAAACGTTTTACTGCATCAGTGCAGTGAACCTTTATTTACCGCAGTAGAGACAGGGTTGCAGTCATAGATGCTACTGTTGCTACTGTTCCCAACTTGGAAGTCCACGTGCAGTGAGGCTGAAGTCTGGGAAACAATAATAGAAATATACAGCTGAGAAGTTCACTTAACCCTAAACATAGAACGACTTTGAAACGTGACCACTGCCAAACTACACTGCTCAAAAAATAAAGGGAACACTTGAGTCACACATCAGATCTCAATGAATGAGATTTTTAACTTGAGAATATGAACTGGTAAAGTACATCATGCAGTTTATTGTGGAAAAATAAGATGTAACGATGGAAATGGAATCAGAGGAAACTAAAGACATCCTCTGCCTGGAACATGATGAGTATATGAGCTCTGGCAGCGCTCCTCATCACATGACCGTCCTGCTGCAGGGTTAGAGCTGTGCACTCTGAATAGACTGCAGGTACCTTCTCTTACTATGAGTAGTGACATAGAAATAGTTGTTGTTACTCCTCCAGTGCACCTTATGCATCTTTCATTTGCACTTCTAAGCAGGTGAAATGCATTCACAACAGTTTCTGTTTCCTGATTGGACAGATCAACATCTCTGAAGACTTTGTGCCAGAATCCAGTGATCAAGTATTCCTTTCATTTATTTGAGCAGTGCATATTTAAATACACATTTGTTCTCTTACAGACGCCGTTTCATTTCGTGACTCTTGTTTCTCGAGAATGTCATGTGCGGCGCTCAGCATCACCACATAAGCAAAGTTGTTGCACAAACCGAGGAGCCTGTATAGATGTGGAAAGATAAAAACGAGATACGGAGATGCATCAAAAAATAACAACTTAATCAGCGGCTGCATAATTTCTCTCAACATAAAACCCCCCAAAATATCGTGCACTCAGTACCGTGCACTTTCAAAACTTTTGCATTAGCAAGCATTTATCAGCTACTCATAGTTTAGTTTTTTGAATTCATTTAAGGATACATTTTTTAAAATAATATTAAAACTTTTTCAACAAAGACCTTTTCACAGTCTTTGTGCTTTTCATGTCGTTAACCTTTGTTCTTTCAAGCTTCTTCAAAGTCTTCCTTTTCCAACCTGCCTTCCACCTTTTTCCTGTCCATCCTTCCAGTTTGCTTCCTCATTATTTTCTAGCTTTCATCTTCTTATAGCTTTGTGTATTTTTCCCTCCCTCCTTTGTTAATTGCTTGTTTTCCAGTAGCAGCTAAAGTGCCTTTTCATTTCACTACCTGCTATGCCACCTTGGGCTTTCCATCTGTGCTTCAGTTTACTTACTAATGTGAATTATCAGTGTGACAGAATTCAATGACAACTTTTCTTTTGTGACTTATTTGTGGCTTTTTGTTTTTACTACAAGGTGATGGTTGAATGGCAATAACGTAAAGAGACAGACCGAGGGAGAGACATGCAGCAAATGCAAAACACAACGGAACTCAGGTCTCTGCAATGAGTACGAAGCGGAGCACGAGTACTCGGTCCCTGGCCTTTCCTCTGCCTTTCTGTCTCCATTTTCCCTTTGCTCCCTTTCTGTCGTACATGCTTGAGACCTTTATTTATATCTGCGTTGCTCTCGTGAACCTTGAGCCGTGAGTAGGTGAGTAAGAGACGTGACATATGACACTGTGCTTCAGATACAGTGATAGATCTGAAGCAAAGACTCGAATGTACAAGAGAGGCTACTGATTATTCTCCTGCTCAGTCCTGATTATCATCTTTGCTTTCCCAGTGCCGACTCAAGTCTGTCGTTTTTCCACATAAAGACCTGACTGCACACACAGTGAATAGCCAATCTTAATGTGCCACCTTGAAGCAATTCCTGAAGTGCATGTGGTCTTAGGAAGGCTTGCTGGAGGAGCTAAATACATAAAAGGGGCGGGGCCCACAGCTGGAAGATCCGATTAATGGTGAGAGGAAGACTACAAATAAGACCTAAAAACATTTCCTCATTTCTGCGTGTGAATAAACATAGCAATGACGTGTATCTATAGGTTCTTATCACATCCCATTAAAGTTTAGGGAGAAATGAGAGATGACGAAGCTGTGGACTTCACTTTCACAGTCAGCACTTTTTATTCGCATAAGAAGTACTTACGAGCGAACAACGTCTTTTACTATAGATACGACACAACATGTATTTAGATGAAATAAGAGGGATCTTTCTGGTGATCTGTTGAAAATATCGGGACACTCACCAAAATCCAATCCAGTTGCGGATTTGTACGCAACGACCTATAAATGAGAGGATAAAGCAAACGTTAGGGACTCACGGAGCAATAATGCTGATAGTTACACGAGTCCGCCGCTGACACACTCACCGGTACCGTCAAGTCGCTGAAGAGGATCTGAGTTGACACTGGCTGGCTGCTCCATGTTTACAAACCAGTCCAAGCTAAATGAAAGAGAAACTGAGTTGGTCTCGAACCGCTGAAACGCACACAGCTCTCATTCTAACAGGCTCTGAGCTCCCACCAACACTGGCGAGAAGCTGTCACTAAGAACGCCCCGTAACTGCTTTTACGGTCCTCAGCTCAGCAACTTTCACAAACCTCACCGACGAAGCACCAGAGACGGCGCTTCAACCTAAAACCTCCCCGCGGAAACAATATCAGCTCTGAACGTTCCTGATCTGCTTGAGACATTAAGTTTGCTCAAATTCAAATAATGTCAAGAACACAGTTGGATTTTTATTATAATATGTCAAACAGATATTCGTGAGTGATGAAACGTTATTCTTATCAGCAGGTAGAAGCTGCAATCGGCTTGGGAAAAGTGATCGTTATGTTTCTCCTTTTTTTATCTGGTAAAAAAGTCTTTCCATCAAAAAATGCCTCCTTCAGAGATCGTAACAAATACAAAATCACAGTAAAGTAAACCAAAAAAAGACTTCTAAAAAGAGGACTGACTATAATATAGGTTCAATAACACATCATAAAGATACTTGCAAAACACTTTATTTTTAGAATCAGAATACTTTATTGATCCCTGGGGGAAATTATTTTTTGTTACACTTCTCCATTATAAACAAACATTAACAAGACAGACAATACGCTAACTAAGAATAGTACCGTGTGTGTGTGTGTGTGTATATATATATATATATACATACATACATACATATATATATTAGGGGTGCAACTAGGGCTGCCACGATTTGTCGACTAGTCACGATTACGTCGACTATGAAAATCGTCGACGACTGATTTAATAGTCGACGCGTCGTTTGAAGCTTTGTAAGATCACAAAAGACGCAGGAATAAGTGGCAGGATTTAAGAGTGTAATACCGGACTGAAACAGAAGATGGCAGCATTGCATGTACAAGGATGTCAGCTACCGTTAAACCCCGAAGAAGAAGAAGCAGCTGTGTCCCAGAATTCATAGCGCGGCCCAGCGCAGTTTCCAACAATGGCAGCAGCTAGTTAGTTTTAATATTACTCTTATTATTCTTTCTGGGTCACAAAATAAACGTTTAACATATTTTCAGCCGAGAATGTAGCTGTGTAAACCTCAAATATCGGCTCAGTTTATCAGGACACCACATATTTTCAAAAGCGCTCCGACGTTTTCGGAGACATCTGTTACCCACTAGCTCGTTAGCGAGCCGGGGGCTAGGCTCACTAGCACCGTGAGAACACCGGACTCCCCGCAAATCATTTTCAAACCCACCGCCGTCTTTCGCTACTCAGCTTAAATATATATATGAGTCACTTAGATAACTTAAAATGTTACTGTTTGGCTTTTTTTTAGTATTTTATTTGTTCCTGAGTAAATCAGTTTGTCTGAGATTAAAGTTATAGTTTTTACACAGCTGAATAAACGTCAAGCAGACAACTGATTATCAGAAGTGTGAGATGCTCCAGAATATACTCCAGTGTCCTGTTATATTTTAGATAGCAAGGAGTTTATTAAACTTCACCGAAACAATCTGTAAATTTCATTTAAATTTAATAAACTATCATCTTTTCTTTATTTTTAGTTAGCACAGACCTTAAACACTTAAAGCTGTAAGCTAATGATAGTTATATAAGAGCAGATGCTGCTGGTGCAATAAGCTGTAGTTTTACGTCCAAGGGATGATGATCTGATTAGTCGACTAATCGCAAAAATAATCGGTGACTAGTCGACTATCAAAATAATCGTTTGTGGCAGCCCTAGGTGCAACGATACACAAAATTCACGGTTCGGTTCAGTTCGATACTTTGGTGTCACGGTTCGATATTTTTTCGATACAAAAAAATGTTCATGCCTTTTTAATTTGTCATTTATTAAAATTATAAATATATATTTTAACTCAAAAGTACAGTTTTTAAATTTAACCCTAACTCTTGTGCGTGTTTTTTATTTTGACAGCGAATGCGTACCTGCGGACCACTTATGTGCAGCCCTGGTTATATAGCTCATCATATCACAGCCACAGAAATTCTTTTGTCCATGAAACCATAAAGCTGCACTTTCTTTTTGCCTTATAGTCTGATTTGTCATAACTTTTCCGTTTTGTGGTAAGCTTTTCTTTGGCTGTCACTTCTTCACTCTGACCTGTCTTATTTGGCTCAGCAGAACTGAAATATATATCCTGCTGCTTTTACACACGCACTCACATAAGCTCAGCGATTCTCTGCGCGATCAACCTCTCACATGTTTAAGCTTGCTGCGGGAGATTTCACTTGTCATGTTTGCGTAGTAAGCTAACGATTAATAAGACGATGTCAGAGGAATTGGTGCGCAAATTATCATCACTCACCAATCTGAGCGATTGCAAAGTGAAAGCAAAAAAACAAGCCCAAATTCAAACACGATTTCAATATGTCACATATTGACAGTGGCTCACCGATGCCAATGACATAATTACCCAGCTACATTTCCGAAAGAATGCAAAAGCATTGACATATATTTTTCCTTCCTACAATAGCCCGACGGGCAGGGCAGAGATAGATTTTGGTAGCTCGACTGGAAAAATCACTAGCCCCTGGACGTCGGGCTAGGGATATTGCGAGCCCTGTATCTGATTGAGGAATCATGCATCTTTGGAAAAGAGAGTTTATTACAGAGAAATGGCTCTTTCCAAAATAAAAGCTATACTACATGCTTCTTCTGGGCTATATTCTCAGCAGCATATTAAACATATCAGGTCCCCATAAGGAGACTCATGTGCTAACGGCTGTCTAAATGACTCGGCTAAAGTTTGTAGCATGCATGCTTGTTGTTTTTGCACTAGGATGATGTAAATGTGCAGTCATATTCGTTGTGTTCCCACTAGTGCTTTCAGGTTAATCTCGTTGAAATGACGTTGCCACAACACGGCAAATCTCCGTTAAGGAGCTACCCCTGATCGCCCAGTGCATGGGGCTAGACGGCCAACACGTTAACGAGCTAACTGCGCTAACACACTAGTTCCTACCCATGTAATTGAGCATTGCGTGGCACATCCAACATACTGTTTTACTTTAGTCCATGACGCGCTTACCTTCAGGGTCATACGTCACATGAAAACCAAAATAATTCCAAACGCCAGATCTGAATGAGGGTGGGGGAGGTCCATGTTGCAAGGAGAGCTTAACTTCTGTCTCGCTAGCTTGCCCTGCGCTCTTCCTTCTGATGATGCTGTCTGTGTTGAGCGCTCAGTGGATCTGCGCTCGACAGTGCAGCCTAGGCGGAGTAGTCGAACGCAGATTCACTGAGCGCTCAACACAGACAGCATCGTCAGAAGGAAAGTTGATGAAATAAATTACAAATTTTGTATTGTTCGATACATATGCGTACCGAACCGAAAGCACTGTATCGAACGGTTCAATATTGATACGAATATCGTTGCACCCCTAATATATATATATGTGTGTGTGTGTGTGTGTGTAAAAGCTGAAAAAGAAACATGTGTAGTTGTAGCAGTATCCAGTGTGTTAAGTGGATGCGTTGTACAGGGAGCCACAGGCAGGAAAGATTTCCTGTGTCGTTCAGTGGTGCTTTTCGGTAATCTCAGTCTCTCACTGAACGTGCTCCTGTGACTGACCAGCATGTCATGGAGTGGGTGGGAGGTGTTATCCAACATTGTCTTTATCTTGGACAACATCCGCCTCTCTGACACCACCTTGAGGGAGTCCAGCTCCATCCCCACAACATTACTGGCCTTACGGATTAGTTTATCGAGTCTGTTGGCATCTGCGACCCTCAGTCTGCTCCCCCAGCATGCAACAGCATAGAGGATCGCACTGGCCACAACAGACTCGTAGAAAATCCTGAGCATTTTCTGGCAGATGTCGAAGGACCTCAGTCGCCTCAAAAAATAGAGACGACTCTGGCCCTTCCTGTAAAGTGCTGTGGTGTTTGTAGCCCAGTCCAGTTTATTGTCAATGTGTACTCCAAGGTATTTATAGTCCTCCACAATGTCAACACTGACCCCCTGGATTGAAACAGGGGTCAAGTGTTTCCTGGTCTTCCTGAAGTCCACTATCAATTCCTTGGTCTTTGCCACGTTGAGCTGCAGATGATTCTGCTCACACCACGTGACAAAGGAGTCGACCACAGCCCGGTACTCTGTCTCGTCATCCCTGCTGATGCATCCAACCACCGCATATTTTATATTATAATATAAAATATATTAATGAACCCTGTTCACTACAGTCTGTTTAACAATATAAGTAAAGATATTAGACATTAGCAAAACACAGAGAACAATTTTAAAATAACATCAATATGAGATCATTTCAGTGGAATAGGAGAAAGCAATCCCATAGTTGATCTGGTTTAACCTTTTATGCCTTACACTTTAACTCTATCATTACAATTTAAGTGGAAATTAAACACAGCAGTAGCAGGTAACTTTTCAAGCACACTGTGCCACACAAACAGGTCTGCAGTGCAGATAATGAAACAATAGAGGTGAAAACCTTGACACATTGGAAAAATGGTCAACCAAACTCTTCAACAATTTTTCCACTGTATGTTAAAATCGCATGTACATTTTTTTAGGTGTGGTTTGAGATGTAAAGGGCGGGACTAATGATAGTCATCTCTCCAGCAGTGCATATAAAGCTGCACTTGTTCCCCCCTCACCACACAGAGGTACTGCTACACTGTTCTTCATCACGGCCATGGCTTTCTGCAAACTTCTGCTAACTGTGTTGGTACTGCTGCACAACAGTGGTGGTGAGAGAGAAAAATGCTGAACCTTAATTTCCCAACTCCAGAGCCCAGATTTCAGAGTGCAGCCTCGATAGACTGATGCTCTAATGTTTATCATCCATTCTGAGCAAAATAGCAAACAGCTCTTACTTTGATGGGATTTAATTTTCTTAGATGCCTCAAACTTACATCCAGCATTTTGTTTGTGTTTTTCAGGTCTACTGGGAAATGAAGTGAGGAGCTCCATCATTGGTGCAGAGGATGCCAAAAAGGAAAGTTGGCCATGGATGGTTCACCTCAACATGACATCTCATGATTCGAAATTGGAGAAATGGGGCTGCGGCGGCACCATCGTTGCAAAGCAGTGGGTGCTGACTTCTGCACAGTGCGTGGCTAAGTAAGTCTGTGTGTGTTTGCAGAAACGTGTCTCATTATTTTTATGAACATCCTC